CCTGACTTCTTTCAAAAAGCAATTGTTTAGACTTTTTAAAAATCACAAAAATCTAAATTAAACTATAGTAAAGAATTGACTGAAGGACTGCCCCGCAATGTTTACCTAGAGAGCTTCCAACAAGCAATCCCAAAATTTCAAATTTTGAAAGCATATACTCCCTTGGAGCTTGCCACTTGAATTCAAAAGGCAAATGCTCTTGTTGGGTCGATTCGCATTATAACTTTAGAGAACCATCAATGCCCTACGAACGAAATAAATGTGAGAGAAACCAGGGAAAACTCACTCGGTTTCAACTTATGGCCAGAAAAAGTCCACAACTATATTTGTCATGTTGAAGTTATGTTTATTTCGCGACAAATGAATAATTTGGAAAATATTTTTACCTAAAAATAGTCGATTGTATCGCTTACAAAAATAAATGAACGAAAGATATTTTCATCCTTCACGAAAATTTTTAGACATAAAGTGTTGCCGATAATAAAAGCGCTTATCATTAGCTGATTATTTCAAGCGATACAATTAGAAAAACGTTTTCCAGATCATTCATTTTCCACGAAACAAATGGAACCGTTCTTTAGTTTTATTAGAGGAGACAAGTTTGTGATGATTCTAGATAAAAAAAAAATATTACAAGTAAACAAGAGAATCGATAACTTTACTTCAAACGAAGCTAGACATACTCAAATTCTACTGGAATTTAATAGACGATAAAGCTTGAAAACATGAAGATGCAATGCTGAAATTTAATCGACGACGAGGCATCCAAGATATACGGCAAAGATATACACCGGAATTTAATCGACGACTCGAATTTAGAAACTACAGCTAATAAACACTCAGAATTTAATCAATGAAGCGAGTCTGACAACTATAACTAATGTGCAATAATGTAAAGATAATTAAAAGCGAACATGTTTGTTTGTTTGTATGCGGGGGCCTCCGAAGAGTATGGTGCGGTTATTTAATGCCTACAATCAATAATTATAAACATAAGTTACCAAGGGAGGTTACAAACGATCCCATTACATTGACTCACTATCTAGACAGTTTTTCGACTCTACTATCTTGACGGTTGCTTTATTCAATTACGTCGACAAACTTATTTGATGGTTACATCGGAGATTGTCGACTCCACTTTTTATCGATTCTTTCAAGCTTTTGATTCATCACGTTATTAATAATTCTGTTCATAAATGACAAAATTCTACTATCATCGACTAAGTATGTTACTTGTCTATAATAACCAAAATTAGTCATTTTTTGGTGCAAACACCCAGACAGGCAAATCCGGTCGCACATAGATTAGAAGATATTACTGCATGAGCTTAATACATCTGGATCGTTGGACAGTGAATCCAATCATATTTGACATGCGATCTACCAAGATTAAAAGGTCGAGATGGATTAGGAATGCAACGCCCCGAGCCATTGCATTGACTTTTTCTTAAACTGGCTAGCAACGCAAGCTTCTCTTTGTGGATATTTTTTTCAATTTTTGTAGTTTTAGTAGACAATAGGTCGCATTAGTGAAATACTTATACGGACCCGATATATATAAAGATTCGAAATTACCTGTTAATATAAACTAGTTGGCCTAGCGAATCAAATTCTAAGCAAGAATACTCACCCTAGTTAAGGGTCCTTACTTTGATGTTACACAACTTGATGAGAAACGGAAAGCGTGATGAACCCTGAGAGAGTAGCTAGACGGTAAAACAAAACTTGATATAAGTCGTACTATCTCAACGCTGATTCATATTCGGTAAGTTCACCTCATAAGATATAACAATCCCTTAGTCCGCTATGAATGGCCTATTCTTCGATCGGATCAGGGAGGTGGATGTACGACAGTAGACAAAAGTTGACTAAGAATAGTGAATACACTATTATATGCATATATGCACAGAAATTTAGAGGGAATTTGTTAATCTATCACAAATTTATTGTACGGATATCAATTCAATCCTAAAATTTTCAATTTTATTAATTCAATAATAAACCTTTGCACGAAATTCAAAAGTAGTCATTCCGATCAATTTTTTTCCGGAAATCGTTAATGTTGCGGTGTGCTACATAAAATGGTTGGCTTATAACTGGGCCGCCAAGCCGGCGATTTTCAACAAAAATTGGCCGGAATGATTACATTAGAATTTCGCGTAAAGGTTTAGGACTGAATTACCAAAATTAAAAATTTTAAGAATGAATTAACATTCGTACGATGAGTTTATGATCGATTGGGTAATTTTCTCCGGCCATTTGTGCCATGGTCAAACCTATTCAAATTGAACGGCACAAGAAAATGGGCCAGCTATCAACCCCCTCTTCAAGTGCTGGCGGCCCAAATGTTGAGCAATTAAAAACATTGTCCTCGCCAATGAAATCCACTGGTGGACATGTGGACAACTCGCAATCCGTACAGAAAAACGCCCGGCCCGGCCGACAACCCTAAGGACAGCCGAGGCATGACCGACAGCGACACGACTTGCTTTTTGGAAATTCAAATACCAGCTAAAATGTGGGGAAAGTCCAAAGGATGTGGCCCCCCTGTGATTATGCCATGCAGACAAGACTCGATGGATGGTTACATGGATTTGATAGGACAATGGATTTCGGTTCTAGGGCTCGAGAATTAGATGCAAACTTATTTACATTGGAAATGTCCGCGAGGAGTGAAGATTTTTGCATTCATTTGCTGGCCTGTTATACCCGAAAGGTCGGGCATTTATTGCGATTGCATTGCTTGTTTGAAATTTCTTGGAGAAGTTGTGTACGATTCCGGAAGGAAAAAATAGTGAGAAAGTGAATCTTTTTTTCCTCCTATATAATTGAATTTTACCCGTCGCGCTCGCCGTTGAAAAAGTACGTCATGCAACATTTAGGCATGTTAATGTAAGTAACACCAATGACAGTGGTCTGTTTTAAGGAATGAATTATTACATGCAACATTTATGTATATACTCAATTCGGATCATCTAAAATGGTAAATATCACGGGAGGGTCTAATGGTCTAGATTCATCTTTTAAGGACATGCATATTGGTAGAGATGGCAAATAGGTGGGTCGAGTTTGGGTGGATCTAAAATGAGTTCAATTCAAATCCAACTATTTAACTCACATTGACCCATTTATTTACTAAGCAATTTGAATGATTTGTACCTAACCCAACCCAGATCTAACCTAAACCCACCCATATAACCCATGAGAAAAACAAATTAAAAGGCCCACTAATTCTTCAAAATTAACTAAACAAAAAATAAAAAAATTCTGCAAAATAAAACGAAAACCCTAGCCATAGAAGAAGTTCGAGCTTGAGAAGGCTAGGATTTCGGACATGACGGCGCCCCCGATGATGGCGGCCCAAACGGCGACGCCCCCCGACAGGATTTAAATCTAGCGAATCACAGGCCTCAGGTTTCCCTGACGGAGTAATTGTTGGGCCGACGGAAGTGGCAAAGTCAAGTCGGGGCTTCTTGTTCACTTTGAGGGTCCGGTAAGAGCGAGCGGATTGAGGAGTTCTGTCGGAAGAGAGAGACGGCTAGGAAGATGGAGATTAAGCAATGGAGAGAGACAGTTGAGCCTTGATCGGAAGTCTCTCAAAGTGGTCATGGAGGTCCGATGGGCGGCGCATGACAGCTTCAATTATTAATTGTCGCCGTAGCCGCGCCGCCTTCACCGGTTCTACCGCGATCAGATCTCCATTTCTGAACTGCTTGAAATGAACTGCTTGAACCAAGCGTAGAGATCGTGACTCTTCATGAGGGCGATAGGGGCTTTGAAAGCAAGCGTCATCAATGGGTTAAGAATGGGTTTGTAAAAGACCCAATAAAACCCATCTTGTTTGAGCTTGTCTTTTTTAAAACCTATTTATGATCCATATCTTAGTTTCAAGGTAACCCATTTGTTACCCGCTTTCATAAGTGGGGCTGCCTTTTTTAAATTGATTTTGAAAATTCAACACTGGCCAACCAAAACCCATATCGAAATTGATTTTGAAATTTTCAAGACTGGCCAACCAAAGCCCATTTTCAAGCAGCTCGAATCCCCTCCTCCACCTCCTCAGCCGTTTTTTAAATAGACTGAAAACTTTCAGCTAAAATGCTAAAGGGAGTAAAAGCAGTAGCATAAAGGATGGGGTCCCTTGGCTATTGAATGACCAAAAGGGGAACCAACCTACCAGACCAGACAACCTTCACAACTCATTCATAGCTTTTAGCCACTCCCTCATTCTTGAGGTAACTGCTAACCAGACACCCAAGAAAATTCAAAGATTGCCGTCATCAGAGCGAAGCCAAGACGCATGTAAGTCGAACGTCCAGCACAGACTCTCAGGATCCTGTGCAGTGGGATCCTTCCGTTCCTTTCTCTGTTTTTTTTTTTTCCCATTTTTAATTAACATGTTTACTTCATAAGCACTCGAAACACTAATTAAGTATGCTTAACAAGAGGTAACTCAAGTTCCAAAATATTTAATACACATAACACAAGAAAGCTCGGGCCGTTGCAGAATAAAGGGAAGGCGTTTTTACTGTTTCCTTGATTGTAAATTTCCATAAATTAACAATTTTTTCCTGTAGATATGGCAATTTCTGGGTCTCGGTGGTAAGTTTTATAGAGAGGATTAAATGCCATAGAGGCTGCAAGCAAGAGAGGTGCAAAATGAGGCACCTGAACCTGCTCAAAATCAGAGAACAGTGCCTGTTTCAAGATTTTCTTCCGTCTCCAGAACTTGCTTCCAGTTTTGTCCCCTTTGCATCGACGCGAGCACCAAGTGGTACTAAGTACCAAGTAGGAAAGATAAACATATTTTAAGAAGTCAGGTTGCGAGATTCCAGATCCTGCTGCACTTTCAGAAAATGGGAACTTTTCTGGATCAGTTGTCAAAAGTCACAGATAGAGTTTTTAACATAAAAGCAAGAAGATTAGCATGAAATTAGAATTTTGACTGCAAAAGGAGATTTACACACAAGAAATCCAAGATTTTTCACCTCAGAAGCACGGAAAGCCAAAAGTGATATATTTCACTATCGCAGGTATTGTAATTAAAAGCCACAGCTTCTCATTTTCAGAAACACCTCGACTATACCAGAGAGAATGCATCTTCAAATGAACCTCGAAGACAAAGGGCAGAGGACTCTCAGGGAGGAGGTGTAAAAGCAAGAACCTACTCACAAACCCGGTGGAACAGAAAATTCAAATGATGATATTAAAATTTACAGGTGTAAATATGCACCAAACTTCTTTCTTTCCTGGCCAACCCCTCTTCTTCTTGGATATTTCCACCTCGAAAAAGAAAAATCTCTTCTAACGGCTTTTGATCTCTTCGTCATTGAAGCAAAGTGTCGGGCAGAATGAGTGCGTACTGAGAGTACCCTGCAAAATTCAAAAGGAGAATAGTTTCTCCTTCCTGTGACAAAGAGGGATAAAAACTTCTCAAGCCATGCTTCCTGGATCCGAGGCGTCGTCATAGTAATAGGGCGTCAATTTGCCATCTTTGTAGGCTTTCTTCGGCGCATTTTCGGCACTGATTTCTTGCAACAGCTTCACGACCCTTCTCATGGATGGCCGGTTAATCGGGAGAGGGCTCGTGCACTGCAGTCCGATGTTGAGGACCTTGCATATATCTTCTTTGAAGCAGGAATCGAGTTTCCGGTCAATCACATGGTCCACACCTTTCTGATCTAAAGTGATGCATACCCACTTGACCAGGTCCTTCTCCCCAAACTCTGGATCCACGGGACGTCTCCCTGTGACCAACTCTAGAAGAACAACGCCAAAGCTGTAGGTGTCGCTTTTCTCATTCACTCTGAGTGTGTACGCATATTCTGCAGGAAGTCAATTAAAAGAAACACTTAAGCTTTCTGCTAATCCATATATAATATGAAGATAAAGAAATGATTAATTCACTTTAGCACGCTGCAGTTTTCTGGTAATCCATATACAACATGAAGAGGAAAAACAGACCAATTTACAATAGCATAACAGAGACCCTCTTTACGCTACTGAGCCAATATTTTAGATGAAAGCTTGGATCAAAAAGCTGCAATTTCTACAACTTTTCCAGAAATAAGCTGCGTGTGCCCCAGCAACCAGCATCTCCCCTTTAACTAAGACCAAAAAACTATATCTCCAATGTTCCCCTCAGAAAAATTACGCTGCTAAAAGAATCTGAATGATATCTTTAATCGCAACGACATATGCCCGATATGACGCCAACTAGAAAACTTTTGTGCTTAAAATTTAGATGGACAAACTGCAATGTTCATGCTCTTCCAAGATTTTGCTTAACTTGTGCGGTAGATGAAGATGCCCCTAAGACGAGTTCAGCAAGATACGGATCAGATAAGTTTAAGAACGGGTAATGCAGTAAGAAATTATTTATCACAAACCTGGGGCAATATAGCCACAAGAACCGGCAATCACGGACATCGACTCATGGCCCTTCCCGGTCCGTTCCACCACCTTAGCAACTCCGAAATCAGCCACCCGGGCTCCGAACTCCGCATCCAACAAGATGTTGTTCGACTTCACATCCCTGTGAACAATTGGAGGCACGCAATCGTGATGCAGATAAGAGAGCCCCTCAGCAGAGTCCACCGCGATCCGGTACCTCGTAGGCCAATCCAACAGCCCTCCTTTACTGCTATGCAGCAGATCACCCAAACTACCATTAGGCATGTACTCATAAACAAGAAGCTTACAATCTCTTGTAGTGCAAGAGCACCAGAGTTTCACAATGTTCTTGTGCCGAATCTTTCCAAGAGTTTTAACCTCAGCATCAAAGCCATCGTCCTGCACAGGACCCTTCTCAACATCATGGCTCTCACTTCCCTTCCTGGGTCCATCCCAAAGCTTCTTCACGGCCACCGCCTCCCCATTGCTCAACAAAACCTTGTATACTTTCCCAGAGGATCCGGTTCCGATAACATTATCCTCGTCGAGACAATCCAAGATCTCGTCTTCACTAAAGCCAAGCTTGTGAAATGACATTAGCGTCCACTTCGTCTTGTCGATAGCTCTCTTGGCATTCTTGAAGTTCTTGTACTTCATGTAAAACCAACCGACACCGACAATAAAAACCAACCCGGCAAGTATAAAGATCGATCTAAGCAACCACACGTAACCAGAGTTTCTCTCTTCGTCTCCGCCATTGCATAGACCCTTCAGTCCACCTCCACACAAGCCAGTGTTACCCAAGAAGCTGTTTCGGTACATTTGCTTAGTAAACATCGGAGGCAGAGCACCGGTTAGCCTGTTGTAGGACAAATTGAGCTGATTGAGCTTCAGATTCTGCAACTCGACCGGTACTCTCCCGGAGAACCGATTCCCCGAGAGATCCAGATAATTGAGCACCGATAAGCTCCCAATCTCACCAGGGATACTCCCTGAGAGCTGGTTATTTGCCAAATTCAGCTCATTCAGCTTCTTCCACTGTTGAATGCCACTGGGCAACTCACCAGACAGTTCATTCTGGTGGAGATCAAGCCTCCCCAACTGCCCAAGATTCACAATACTCTCCGGCAGTGACCCAGTAAGCTTATTCTCGCTTGCTGAGAAGTCTAAAAGGCTCACTAAAGTCCCAATCGCTTTTGGTAGAGACCCGGTAAACTCGTTTCTTGATAAACTCAAAAAGAAGAGAGCACTAGCACTCGCTATTTCTTCTCCAATGGGACCTGAGAACTTGTTGTCCGCAAGTTCGAGCAAATAAACCCGAGGCAAGCCCCAGAGAGACGAGGGAACTTCACCGGACAACCCGTTGTTGCCCAAGCGGACTCGGGTCAAGCTCCGGCAACTGCCGAGCGGCTCCGGGATGGGTCCCGAGAACGAGTTCTCTATCATGAGAAGCTCCTCCAACTTGCCTTTAGCGCACAAACTCGCCGGGATTTCGCCGGAGAAGTTATTGGTTGACAAGTCTATGTATGTCAGTGGCGCATTCTGGCCGAAATTTTTGGGCAAGTCGCCGGTGAGCCGGTTCTTGAACAGCCTCAGCTCATACAAGTTCGGCGAGTCGGCAATGCTCGCCGGCAGCTCGCCGGAGAACTGGTTCTCGTAGAGATTGAGAGACTCGAGAGGCAACCGAGTCAGCTCGTCCGGAATCGCGCCGCTCAGCCGGTTCATCGACGCGTCGAGCAACCGCAATGCGGTCAGCTTCGACAGCCCCGGCGGCAGCTCCCCCGTCAGGGAGTTATTGTAGAGCTCAATCTGGACGACGCTCTCCAGCTCAGTGAGCGAGCTCGGTATGGTCCCCTCCAAGTAGTTGATGGCGAGGTCCAAATCGGTGAGCCTCTTGAGCCTCCCGAGCGACTCCGGGATCTCCCCGGTCAAGCTGCACTCGGTCAGCCAGAGCACCTCGAGGTTCGTCAGGTTCCCGAGCTCCGGCGGGATCTGACCCGGCGTGAACGTGTTGTACGAGAGGTTCAGCATCTTCAGAGTGCTAATGTTGCCGAGGAAGCCCGGAATGGGGCCGTCGAGGAGGTTGTTCACAAGGGACAGCACCTCGAGCCTCGGGAACCGGCCGAAGCTCGCCGGGATGGCGCCGGAGAAGTTGTTGCCCGCCAAGTCGAGGTAGGCCAGGCCGGGGAGGTCGGCGAGGGAGGCGGGGAGGTCGCCGGTGAGGAGGTTCTGGGCGAGGTCGAGGTGGGCGAGGGAGCGGCAGGCGGAGACGCCGGCGGGGAGGGCGGAGGAGATGGAGTTGTTGTAGAGGGAGAGGAAGGTGAGGTTGGGGAGGCGGCAGAGGAGGAGCGGGAAAGGGCCGGCGAGGTTGGCGCCGCGGAGGTCGACGGAGGTGACGGAGCCGCCGCCGCCGCCGCAGCCGACGCCCGGCCAGCCGCAGGGGGAGTCGTCGCGGTCGTCCCAGGCGGCGAGGGTGGAGTCCGGGTCGGAGAGGGAGAGCTTGGCGCCGTGGAGGTAGAGGCCTTCCTGGTTGAGGGACAGGGACGGCGGAGCTCCGGCGAGGAGGAGGAGGAGGAGGAGGAAGGAGAAGGAGAAGGAGAAGAAGAAGTGGAGATGCATGGCTTCTTCTTGGTGGTGGTGGCGGTGGTGGTGGTGGTTCTGGTTCAAGCTTTCCTCTCTCTAACTTCCGGCGAGAGTGATGGATGTTTGGGGGGTAGATATATGGGGGGGTTGAGGAGAGAGAAAGGTTTTGGCCTAGTTGGGCTTTGGGGGTAGTGAAAAACTATTGTTTGTCTGGATAATCATAAAAACTATGTCTTAATTTTACTCCTCATATTAGATATTGCCCCAAACATTACAAAACAAAATAATTTCCATTTTCCCATCTCCTCCACCTAATAGTAGTAGTAGTAATGTTCATTTGCCTTCATGAATTGCCTAAAATTCCACACCCCGGCCTTTCTCTCTCCTCGCACGGGGCGGCACGGCACGGCGGTGGTCGGAAGCCGCTGTGAGAGGGCTGGCCTCGAGCTTTTACGAGGGTCGCGGCCTGCCAAGAGACTCTGCAGGAGGCGGTTCACAGGTTCTGTCGTAGAGCTCGGCCATGGCCGTTAAGGTCTATGCCGTTTCAACATCGGTCCTCAAGCTCGGCCTCGGATCTGAGGTCGACAACGGCCTCCTAAGCCCCCTCACGGGTGGAGAATGGGAGATGTTTGTGGTGGATGTATTGGACCGAGCTAGCCTCTTGAATAAGGGAGAGATTGTGGCTGAAGATTGTTTGGGAATTAAAATGGTAATTTGGTAAATAAAGGTATAACATGAAATTTATTGTGAAAAATGAGGATGATAATTATAGATTTCAAAATGTGGGGATAATATCTAATATTAGAAATAAAAATTTAGGCTATTTATATAATTTTCGCTTTACATTTTTCTTTTTTTGTTTCCATCGACATATCTTTTCACCAAAATTTTAATCCTTCTCAATATCCACCCAATTTTTTCATTTCTCCCATTTTCCTTCCTTTCCCAAACATAGCCTTAGAGAATGGTCCAATATGGTTTTTCATTTTTTTTTCTTACCACGAAATACGCTTGCCTATTAATTATTCAAGCATTATACTCCTCTCATTCCAAATATCAAGTGATAGACGAAACTCAAATTCATGCTTTTAAAGATGATATCACAAAAGTAGGTCAGTATACCGATTTGAAAATCATACGCAGCGGTCTCTAACGTTCTTGATTTAAGGATTATAATCAGGATTTTTATATACAGTACGTTGCCAGCATAAACTTTTCGTGACCACCCAAGCAGACACTATTTTAATCTCAAATTTGCTCGTGCAAAAAAAAAAGTACACTATGGGGTTTCTTAGATAAATTCTCATAGCTACCCACTCTCTCCGGTCGATAATTTACATATCTACTTTTATTTTTCGGAATTTGAAAGTAATTAAAAACATAAATGCCAATAATCAAACCGGACACCTACATATATTTTCAAGTGTTTGCAAAATATAATTTCCATCTCCGATAGCCTTTTAAAAAAGGAATATTTCGAATTTTTAGAATCTCACTTTTTATTTCTTTCTTTTTACACTCCCTCGCTCAATTCTATGCAACCTAATTATGTCTTGATCGTACCAAGTGCAACATCGAAATTAACCCAAACATGGACCACACATTGTTCAATGTGATGCAGATAAAGAGAGGAGGGCGGGTGTGGGGGGGAACACCTACGGTATATCTTAATGTCATTTGATTAGTTTATAATTTTCTAACTTAGGAATCTGTAAATTATATAATTTTCAATTACCCACTTTCTCGAAAGCGTTTCTTTCATATCTACAACTTTTAGGGTACATTATCAAAAATGTCAATGTAGGAATAATGGCAAGGGAACTTATTTTTGCACATTTAGCTGCGAAATAAATCGGTCGTTTTTTGCCAATAAGTTGATTCGCGACATTCGCCTCGCCCGGGCAAAAAGTTATCGTGTGTTCCTTTGATGTGTCTCGAAATTGGATCATGCGAGGGACGATGATCCTATATAGCCATGATTTTCATGTTTTCAAGATTGGGTCTCGAAGATAAAGATTTCCATCCCAACATGAAAAACCCAATTTTCAGGAATGAATCGAGACAGATCTCTCAGCTCTACATCTGAATTTCAATAGTCAATCGATTACAATGTTTCGTGCCATCTTTCGAGTGCTCGAACGAATGAGTGTGTCGTTGCAGCATGTTGGAGAGTCCTGTGTTTGTCTTCTCTAGTCTTCATGATGCTGTTCGTTCGAGCGTTCGAGTGTCGACAAGGAAAAATTGCAAGTCGTATCGTTGTATTCCATGTTGGCGGTGGTTTTGAGTGTGTGTTGGAGCATGAGATGACCGAAAAAGTTGCTAAAATCGATTAGGGTGCGTAGCTTTTTATTGATTTTGTTGGGGGAATTGCACAAGGAAAAAGGACCAAGTTCTACTAACTCTCATGACCTATCCTGTTTTCTTTTGGAAGAGTAATAATTTTGATTGTATGAATTTATTGAAATTCGTTACAAAGAGATATGACAAGGTTAGAACCGGAATTCATGAAAAAAAAAAGATAACCCCATAAAAAATCCTAAATTTGTCTTCGTGGGTAACCGATACCTTAACTTTTTTTCATCTCATCAATATCCAAACTTGTACCGGTAACTCAAAAGTATTTTCCGTTAGACTTTCATATATTACAATTGTGTCGATTCAGTCATAAACTTTTTTTGTATCAATTCAGTCATAAACCTTTTGTAATTGTACCAATTCAGTCCATCCGGTCAATTTTTGCTGGCCAGTGCTGACGTGGACACCGGCTAGTGTTGGCCATTCGGCAAACACTGACGTGGCAATTTTGTAATTATTTTTTTTACTTTTTTCAAATTTTTTTATTAATTTCTTTTCTTTTTCCTTTTTTTTCTTTTCTTTACCTCCCTTCATCTTCAACCTCCAAAGGCGGGGGCCAGCGAGGTCGGCCCTGCCGACCTCTAATGAGGGAGAGGTCAATCTCGCCAGTTGTCGATTCCATGCTTAGGTGAGGCTCGACCTCGCGAGTGACTGCGAGGACAAGCCTCGCCAGGTGTGAGCAAGGTCGACCTCACCGGCCCCCACCTCTGGTTGATCGCCGAAACCGGCCAGAGGTTGTTGATGATGAAGGGAGGAAAGAAAATAAAAGTAAAAAAATATTTAAAAATTTGCCACACGTCGGCATTGGCTGAACGGCTGGCATCGGCTACTCAAGAAGGGCGAGGGAAGTAATATGAAGGGCGAGGGGTCTGAGCTACTCAAGAACATTAAATAAAATAATTATAAAAAAAAACTAATTGGCATTGTCTATGGAAGTACATGTGATCTTAAAGAAATAGTAATGGTAGATTCAAAAATTTGAAAAAATTAATCAATCGGTTTTAAACCGATTATATGGATGCATACCGCCACGTTAGCAATTTCCAGCAATGCTTTAAGACTAAATGGGCAAATTGAAAAGTTTAGAACTGAATTGATATCCATACAATAGGTTCATGATTAATTGGACAATTTCTCTAAAAGAATATTGATGGTATCTATCAACTAAGTTGACGTAAATTCGATTAATTAGCGTGCATGTCTCCAAAGTTAATCGTTCGAATAATAATCAATATACAATACGCAAAAAGAATATAAATTCCTTTTCTACATCTCTCAAGACATGAATCGAACTCGACACACGTGCTTGTTCCAAGCGTAATTCATATGCTTCCTCACACCATTCCAAAGGCACTCCACAATGAGTGCATTTGCAAAATGAACCAAATGGCCATGTCTCGATCTTAACCTACTATCATTTGGTCAAAATTCACGTCTCCCATGCGTACTCATTCCTTTTGTACTCTTGAATACGAATATACAAATTATTGTGTACACGACAATCATTTTAAAGTAGTGGAAATGCTAAAGTAATGACTCGTGAAAGTGGAACAAATGCACATGAAGTGGATCCATTCCATGATTCATTACCATGGCCGCAAAATAGTTTTTGACTGTCTTTCACGAATGATAATAGTGAGAGGCGGTTAATAACCAAAGATGAGTTGCTATCTTGTGCACTGTTCTCGATAGTTCAAATGTTTATAGCATTACGAGCACATCGATTGTTGCTGAAAACAAGCAATCAAGCCATAAGAAATGCATCAACTCGAACGCCTGATTCTTGTGGTTAGGTCGATTAGACCTAAGGAGAGCACCACAAAATTATGTTTAAGTCAAGCTATGTAATAGGAATTACAACCATATTTTGAAGAACTCAAACACCCGTAGTGTTTCTCTAACCCCAAACAACACTTATCTTTTATCCACAAAATATAAAGAAATTTAAGCGATAGAAGAAATGCAAAGTATATTGATAATGGTTCGGCCTTTCCTACTCCACTCCCGGCTCTAACGATTCAAATCGAAGCTAACATCCACTACATAATTCTTGAAATGTTGCAACATCTGAATATGCTTCCTTCTACGTGTAGCTCTGCTTCTATATATACAAGTAGTCCTGACCATACTCAGACCCTTGCTTTTCTAATTAAAGACACTCAGACTTCTACAGAGAAATACAATTACATTTCATAGTTTCTACCTTTTGGCTGAATTTATAGTCATTAGACCTTAAATGGTCGCTTGAAATTCAAATCCCACGAGTAACCACTGGTTTGACCATCTACAATTTGCAAAACTTCACTCTGCTGCTCTGTAGAGATAATTTCCCAAAAAAGTTGGTTTGTTTCCACACCAATTTACCATGCTCTATCGTTTGTCAAAATATGATAAGTTGTTGTGATCTTCTCCGGTTCGCCTTTTTTAGATTTTAACGACCGAAACCAATTGTAAAACACCAATTTGAATTGAAATCAAACTGATGAAGAGATTCGGTCTTCTTTCTAGAATGCTAGAGGGTCACTCATAGGAGAATCACTACCGAGAAACTCATGAATCTTTGAATCGAACAAATTTATTAAAAAACGAAAAACATAGTCCTAATAATTGTAAGGATTAATATCACGAAAAATCCCAAATTGATACACATGTGACAATTTTACCCCTAACTAATTTTTTGACCACGAAAAACCGCAAATTGGTGCACTTATGATAATTTTACCCCGAACTGGTACACATGTGACAAATTTAC